GCCGAAGTCGGCCGCTTAACCTACTGAGCCACCCAGGTGCCCCTGTATTTTACTTCTTGAGGTGGAGGGAGGAAAGGTATCAGCCTAACAGGATCAAAATTAGCTTATTGGAATTCAGCATCTGTGAGTGAGAAGTTTGAATAAGTGAACTAGAGACCTTTGATTCAAAGTTCAGAAATTCAAGGGGCGCCTGGGTGGCTCAGCCGGTTGAGCGTCTGACTTTGGCTCAGGTCATGATCTCACGGTTCATGAGTTTGAGCTCTCCGTCGGGCTCTGTGCTGACAGCTCGGAGCCTGGAGCCTGCTTCAGATTCCCTCTCTCTCTCTCTCTCTCTCTCTCTCTCTCTCTCTCTCTCTCTCCCAAAATAAACACTGAAAAAAATAAAAATAAAAAAAATTCAGAAATTCAGATTCAATGAGATAAGGAGGAAAATCAGAGATGACTTTCCAAATGCTGAACGTTTTCCATCCCTCTGCAATATTTGAGGCTCTTGGTAACACACCTCCTTGAATTATCTCAATCGCTTCAATTTCATGACTCTCCACTCTTCAGGCGTTCCTACTATAACTATTCCATCTGTGGTTTCTAGCTCTCTTTCCTCCACCGTAGAAGCAGACATTCCCTTGTTTCAAATTCTCCTTTGGCCATCTCATCTACTTCTATGATTTCAACTACCCTGCATTTGGGTGACTCGGCTCTAAAGATCTTGCTCTTCTTTACTCCTAAACTTCAGTCCCACATTTCTGCCTCTTGAGCATATCACACCAGTGCCTTTAAATTCAACCTACTCCAAACTGAACTCATCATATTCCCTTTGAATATCTGCTAATTCCTAAAATAAATTGTTCTATTAATGGCAGCATTTTTCTTTCAGCCATCCAAAGTCAAACCCCAGGTCATCTTTATCACTTCTTCTTCCTCCCATATGTTCATTTAATGTATAAGTCATGTCAAATCCTTTCTCATCCATTCCTTCCTTTTTGTTACTATGTTATCCTAGTTTATACTCTTCTTGCCTCTTGCTAAGACTGTTACAACTCCTTCTAATTGTTTTCCACCCTATGGTGTCTATTTGCTGTCTCCAATATCTTTTATATACTGTTGCCAGCTATCTTTTTAGAGCATGGCTTTGATGATTTACCTTCCTTCCTTCAACAAGCATGAATTGTATATGCCCAATATTTCTGGCACTGATATAGATACTAATTCATTTATGTAGGTATACTAAACACCTACAATGTGCCAGCCCTGCCATAGGCACTGAAGCTATGTCACTAATGGGACACAGACTAAGGCTTAGAGCTTACATTCCAGTTAGGGTCAGTGGGAGGTACAGTAAGATATGGCCCCTGCTCTCACTTATCTGTTCTAAATCCTTCAATGGTTCCCCCATGCCTGGAAAAGAAAATTCGAATTCTTTATGTTGACTTTCAAGGCTCATTATGATTTGTTTTTCCTCCCAAGTTTTTATTTAAATTCCAGTTACTTAAAAATATGGAATGCTTCACGGCATTCCCTGGGTGGCTTAGTCAGTTGAGTATTTAACTCTTGATTTCAGCTCAGGTCATGATCCCAGGGTCGTGGGATCAAGCCCCATGTCGGGCTCCATGCTGAGCGTGGAGCCTGTTTAACATTCCCTCCTTCTCTCCTACTTCCCCTCTCCCCACTCACATGTTCTCTCTCTCTGTCTCTCTCTCTCTCTCCCTCTCTCTCAAATAAAGGAAAAGAAAAAAGGGGGGGGATGGAAGGCTTCATGAATTTGTGTGTCATCCTTGCACAGGGGCCAGGGACTGGAATGTTGAGTGACACAAAGATGACACAATTTATAATTCAGGCAGGGCAGAAGTGGGCGTATCCAATGATGGTAGCCTCGGTGCCCAACAAAATCATCCAGTGCCAGCAGTGCCCTAACCAGACTTCTCCTGTGCTGAACATGACTGTGGTTGGTTCCCAATGCCTCGTCTCCCTTCGTTTCTGCCTGTTTTTTTTTTTTAATTTTTATGTTTATTTATTGCTGACACAGAGAGAGACAGAACATGAATGGGGGAGAGGCAGAGAGAGAGGGAGACACAGAATCAGAAGCAGGCTCCAGGCTCTGAGCTGTCAGCATAGAGCCCGACGCAGGGCTCGAACTCACAGACTGTGAGATCATGACCTGAGCCAAAGTCGGACGCCTACTGAGCCACCCAGGCACCCCTCATTTCTGCCTATTTTATAAGACCAATTCTACTTCATTCTGGAAGCTGACTAGCCTCTTCCTCCTTGCAATAAATACTTTTTTTTTTTTTGCTCAGGTGAGGGACATTGTTTCTGTTGCTTGCAACAAAGAATCTTGAGTGATATAAAAGTATTCTTTCTTCCTCTGGACTTGGGGAGGAAGAGAGAATGTGAAGAGGGAATATAAGAGGTCTGGATTTATTGGGGCCATTCTTGCTACTATAGGAAATCAGCCTGTGTATAAACTCAACATAGAAGAAAGGTGGGACTGGGGCGCCTGGGTGGCGCAGTCGGTTAAGCGTCCGACTTCAGCCAGGTCACGATCTCGCGGTCCGTGAGTTCCAGCCCCGCGTCAGGCTCTGGGCTGATGGCTCGGAGCCTGGAGCCTGTTTCCGATTCTGTGTCTCCCTCTCTCTCTGCCCCTCCCCCGTTCATGCTCTGTCTCTCTCTGTCTCAAAAATAAAAATAAAAAACGTTGAAAAAAAAATTAAAAAAAAAAAAAGAAGAAAGGTGGGACTGTGAAATATAATAGACATATCAAGGCAAAACCCTGGTAACACCTTGAATCTCTGGATCCAGCCATAACTAAAGTTAACTTTACTCTGGACTTCAGCCTCATAAGTTAATAAATTCCATGTATTGTTTAATATCACTCATGTGAACTTTTTGTCACTTGCAACCAAATGCATCCTACCTGATACCTTTTCATTCCGTCTTTGAAAAGGAATCCTTTGCCTGATTCTGCAGTAGGCTTTTAGCTATTCTACTTCTCTTCTTTCTTTCCCAGTTGAACTCCTCATAAATGATGTAAAATCTTAGTGTCTTCATTTCCTCACTGCCCTTTCCTGCTTAATCCACCGAAGGCTGGATTACTTCTTTACCACTCTGCTGACACTATTTTCTTTGAGATCACCAATAGTCTTTTCCTGTCTTAACTCAATGCCACGTTCTCAAAGTCATTCATTTGTTCAGCATTTTTTACATGCCCACTTTAGCAGAGTGTAGTGCTACATCCACTCATTGAACAGATATCTACTGAATAGCCAATATATCCCAAACTTTTAGCATAAAAAACAAACAAATCCTACTTTCAGGTCAGATTACTATTTTGTCACAGAAGACAGACTCTGAAGTACTCGTAGTAAACCATAGTGAATATTACCAGAATATCTCCCTGGAAAATTAACATTTAATCTAAAGCCTAAAAGTTGAATATAGAAGGATGGAAATAATACAAAGAGAATATTAATGACAAGGCTTAGAGGCAAAGGAGGATCATGCAAAAGTCACGGAACTGTGAGAAGTCCAGCATTTCTGGGTCACAAAGTACGAAGGAGAGAGTGGCAAGAAACAAGGTTAGATCAAATTATGGAGAGCCTTGGAACCCCATTAAAAAGTTTGAAAACTGTAGGCAGCTGGTGACAAATTATAATCAGAAGACTGATGGATTTCCATTTATTAAAGACCACTTTGTGGTTTGGAAGGGAACACAAGTATTTTCAGGAATTCTGAGAGTATTTGCAGGAGTCTGGTATTTGATGACCTAGAGTACAGTGATGACCATGGGAATAAAGGGAATTGAGAAAGAAAGAAAGAAAGAAAGAAAGAAAGAAAGAAAGAAAGAAAGAAAGATGGAAAGAAAGGAAGAAAGAATTGACTTGAGAGAGAATTTTGGAAGTAGACCCAAAAGGATATTAATAGATATAGGGAGTAAGAAGCTACTGAAATGTGGAACACAAGAGTTCCACATGACCCTACTCTGAAAAGCACTGTAGAAAGGTGAGGAAATCAATAATGTGATATATATGTACATGAGATATTAAGGGGAATACAAATATCTACCAATTTTCCCACATTTCCAGCTGCCAGGAGGAGCCCCAGACTAGTTTTTCTCTTATCCCCAGTCTTTTTTTTATAAGCATTTTCTCTAAGTTTATTTTGGGGGGGGTGGGGAGGGGCAGAGAGAGAAAGAGAGAGAGAATCCCAAGCAGGCTCCACGCTGTCAGCATGGGGTTCGAACTCACATAACCATGAGATCATGACCTGAGCAGAAACCAAGAGTTGGACACTCAGACTGAGCCACCCAGGCGCCCCATCTTTTATCCTCAGTCTCACAACCACTTCCTTACAATTCTCTGCCAAAGGTACAAGTCTGCCCATCGTGAAGACAATTACTGATATTGTTTCCCAGAGCTGCTTAGCTCCCAGCTGTCCCAAACTAATCTTTTATGAAACAAGCATTCTCTCTGTGTTCCCAAAAGATTCACTAAACCATTTTTTTTTTTTTTCAAAACAAATCTGTTTGCATTTTCTTTCTCTCTAGGCTTGGAGGATGTTCAGGGTTCTTTCTTTCATGATGTACTTCTCATGGGTTACTCAAAAATTCCCTCACTAGGGTTATCTAACTGCATGCAGATCCCTCAGAATCAATGTCCCTCCACTGGCTTTACAGCACTGAATCCAAGTCTACCTCCAACCACTTTCTGTTAAGGTAACTTCCTTCCAGCGGGAATCCCTTTCAGGCTAGATCCTCTTTCGAATGATGCCCAGGGTTGGTCCCTATCTATGGGGTCATTATCTGGCCCTCAGGAAAGAAAAATTCTCCTTGATCAATCTCAATTCTGCCTTCTTTTATTTTAAAGTTTTTTTTTAAGTTTATTTATTTATTTTGAGAGAGAGACAGAGTGCATGCACGCCTGTGGGGTAGGAGCTGAGAGAGAATCCAGAGTGGGCTCTACCCTGTCAGCCCCATCGAGGGGCTCCATTTCACAAATCATGCAATCATGACCTGAGTTGGACGCTCAACTGACTGAGCCACCCAGGGGCCCCAATTCTGCCTTCTTTTCTGTTGCTACAGCCTGCTTCAGCCAACTTCTTTCTTTCATTTTATCATAGTAAGAGCACATAACGGGATTTACCCTCTTAACAATTTTTTTAGTGTGCGATACATTATCATTACTACTGGTACAATGTCGTACAGCAGATCTCTAGAGCTGGTTCATCTTGCTTAACTACAATTTTATGCCTGTTGATTGATAACTCCCCATGATTAGTGATGTTCAGCATCTTTTCATCTGCTTATTGGCCATTTGTATAACTCCCTTAGAGAAATGTCTATTCAGATCCTTTGCCCAGTTTTTTAAAAAGTTTATTTATTTTGAGAGAGAGAGAAAGAGAGAGAAAGAGTGCAAGCAGGGGAGGGGCAGAGAGAGAGGGAAAGAGAGAATCCCAAGCAGGCTCTGTGCTGTCAGCACAGGGCTCAAACTCACGAACTGTGAGATCATGAACTGACCCGAAATCAAGAGTCGGACACTTAACTGACTAAGCCACCCAGGAGCCCCCCTGTGCCCAATTTTTAATTAGGTTATTTGTATTCCCATTATTTAGTTATAAGAATTCTTTATATATTCTAGATAGAAGTCCCTTATCGGATATATGACTTGCAAATATTTTCTCCCATTCTTTGGGTTGTCTTTTCACGTTCTTGATAGTGTCCTTTGAAGAACAGAAGTTTTAAACATTTTTTTTTCAAATCTATTTATTTTGAGAGAAAGAGAGCATGAGTGGGGGAGGGGCAGAGAGGGAGGGAGAGAGAATCCCCGGCAGGCTCTGCATTGTCAGCGCAGAGCCAGACTTGGGGCTCAATCTCATCAACCATGAGTGCATGATATGAGTCAAGCCAAAACCAAGAGTTGGTCGCTCAAGTGACTGAGCTCCCCAGGTGCCCCTAAATGTTTTTCTTTTTTTTTTAACTGAAATATAGTTGATACACAATGTTACAATGTTACATTAATTTCAGGTATACAACTTAGTGATTTGACAAATTTATATGCTAGTGCTTTGCTAACCACAAGTATAGCTACCACCTGTCACCATAAATGCTATTACAATACCACTGATTATACTCCCTATGCTGTCCCTTTTATCCTTATGACTTAGTCATTCCATAATTAGAAGCCTGTACCTCCCACTCCTCTTCATCCATTTTGCCCATACCCCACATCCCTCCCCTCTGGTAACCATTAGTTTGTTCTCTATATTTATGGATATATTTCTGCTTTTCATTTGTTTAATTCTTTGTTTTTTAGGTTGTTTTTGGTTTTTTTGTTTTTGTTTTTTTGTTTTTTAGAGCCGACACATAACAAATCATACATTGTTTGTCTTTGTCTGACTTATTTCACTTGGAATAATACCCTCTAGGTCCACCCATGTTGTCATAAACAGCGAGGTCTCATCCTTTTTGTGGCTGAGTAAAATCCCATTTTACATACATATATACACCACATCTTTATCCATTCATCTGTTGACAGACACTTGAAAAAGTCTTAAATTTTGACAAATTCCAACTTAACTATTTTTCTCTGCTGTTGCTTGTGCTTTTGATGTAATAGCTAAAAATTCTTTGCCAAATCCAAGGTTATGAAGATCTACTCTTTTGTTTTCTTTTAAGAGCTTTGTAGAGTTAGGTCTTTGATCTATTTTGAGGTAGTTTTTATATATGGTGTGAAGTAAGGGTTCAACTTCATTCTTTTGCATGTGGCTGTCCTGTTGTCCCAGCACAATGTTTTCTTTCCTCACTGAATGGTGTTGGCATCCTTGTCAAAAATCGGTTGACAATAGATATATGAGTTTATTTCTAGACTTCCAAATCTATCCCACCTAACTATATGTCTATCCTTGGGCTAGTGCCACACTGTCTTAATAACGGTAACTTTACAGTGAGTTTTAAAATCGGGAAGCGGGAGTTTTCTGGTTTTCTTCCTTTCAGTGTTGATTTGGTGGACTAAGTTTTAATAACCAAAATTGATCCCTTCTGGGATGTACTTCATTTTTCATTAAAAGATGGGAATGACAGGGGCACCTGGGTGGGTCAGTCAGTTAAATGTCCGACTCTTGATTGTGGGTCAGGTCATGATCTCACAGCTCGTGGAATCAAGCCCCACGTCAGTCTCTGTGGGTCAACGCAGATCCTGCTTGGGATTAGCTCTCTCCCTCTCTCTCTCTGCCAATCTCCTGCTCTCTCTCACACTCTCTCTCTCTCTCTCTCTCTCTCAAAATAAATAAACATATTTTGTAAAAACAATGGGAATGACAGCACAGTTAAACATAGTAATTAGAAAAAATAAAATAATTTTATGTTCATACCCAGTAAGTTAAGACTCCAGAACAAATTAGTTACAATATGTACTCTTAGAATTTGGAAGAAAAAAAAATCTTAGAGAAAGATTTGGATGTAACACAGAATTGGGCTGTTCAAGGTAGCTTTCCCTGGTTCTTACCAGCCAAGGAAGCTCTAGTTGATTTCTGAGCTATACATGTTTGCTCATGTTTTGCCTTGGAGTATTTTTCCAGAGGTTTTATGCTTTTATGTGTATATATTTTGAACATCACCCATACTAACTTTATCAATTTCATAAGTGCTTCTTAAATAAGCCTCGCTTTTTTTTTTTTTTTTTTTTTAAATCTCCTTTGGTTTTGACATGTTATTAAGAAAACACACACAGGGGCGCCTGGGTGGCGCAGTCGGTTAAGCGTCCGACTTCAGCCAGGTCACGATCTCGCGGTCCGTGAGTTCCGAGCCCAGCACGGGCTGGGCTGATAAGCTCAGAGCCTGGAGCCTGTTTCCGATTCTGTGTCTCCCTCTCTCTCTGCCCCTCCCCCGTTCATGCTCTGTCTCTCTATGTCCCCAAAATAAATAAATGTTGAAAAAAAATAAAAAAATAAAATAAAATAAAAAAGAAAACACACACATACACATACAAACCAATCAACTTGTTTTATCCTCTTTTGTCTAGGAATATGACAAACCTGAAGATACCTGAGGAGGTAGCTACTGCTGTACAAGGGTAAAGAAGTGTGTGTTCCCATGGATGATTCAAGCCTGTCCAGCAGTATTGATGTAGACAAAGGCTTTGCCATCGCCTTTGTTGTTCTTCTGTTTCTGTTCCTAATCGTGATGATTTTTCGGTGTGCCAAGTTGGTGAAGAACCCCTATGAGGCCAGCTCCACAACAGCAGAACCGTCGCTGAGCTGAACTATGAAAAAGCCTGACAGACTCCTCCTCAGGGGAGATATTAAATCTTCTATACAGGTGTTTATGATCTGGACTTCATATTGGTTCCCCTCTCTGTGTGTCAGCCTTCTCACTCTGGCATTCCACAATAGGCACAGGAGGGTGAGTTGAGAATAATAAAAAGGATGAAACACAAGCCAGTTTATATTCCTATTCAGGGAAATGGTTACAAAGTGGGACAGAGACAGGTTGAACTCATTGATTAAAATAAGGCCATGGGTTTCAATTCTCCAGTATCAAATGTCCTTAAGATAGTTGGACATAATTTTTGATGTAATGCAATACAATATAATAATGCTGGGGCACCTGGGTGGCTCTATCAGTAGAGCGCCTGACTCTTGATTTTGGC